CGCGTTTACCATGAATATTCATTTCAATATTACTGCCTTAAGCATCTTCACTGAGTGCGTCACTAAATTTTAATTTATTTTTCACTTCGACGGAGAACGTATCGCTCTAACTTATGGGCGCAATATGCTAAACGAAATACGGCAACGAACGGTTTTGCATTTTTTACGACTCGAAAAACGCGTGGTAGCCGAAGAATTATATAGCCATCATCAATGAATCTTGTCAGCATGTGCATGATTACATTCTTCAGCTTCCCTTGGCAAATAATGTGCCTGGGATCTTTGCGTATCTTCAGGAAAATTCATGCTATGAACGCATCATATGGAATGCAATGTGTCAATGTCACGTTTAGAAAATGTTAGAGAAAAAACCTGCAGTGCGGAGGTTTCTATCCGAGGGACTTCGGAACTTCGGTTGAAAATTGACGAATGATTCTCGCATACAGGTATTATTTATAATACCTGTACGTTCTGTCAGAAAAATGCACGTAAAAGAAAATCGACGTGGATAAAAGAATGCAAAAAAGTCACCCATAACCGATGGAATTAGTGTATACTTTGAATCTTTATGCTTTGTTTTCTATGGCTTTTCTAGTGTATGGCTATGAGGGTATTTTCAACTTATTTTTGTTTCAAGAATGTTTTGCGCAGAGTGTTGATAATTTTTAATATTTTTTATGGTGATTTGTTGGGTAACCTTTTCATGCGGATAATTCTTGATGCGAATAGGGTTTCAATTCCCTGCCATGCACTTTCCAAAGCCTACGGCACTTGAAACAAACAAAATATAAGTTTCTGGAGACAACAAATGGTCGAGGAAAACTGCGAGTTTTTGTCGCGAGTGATTTTCTCCTCGTTTGTTTCGCGTGCGTGCTTTTACCTTTGTTTTACGTGTGGTGCATTTCTCCTGTCATTGTTTCCTCATCAGTATCTCCGAGCTGTTCATGTGTAAACCTGCGGAAGGTTGTCGGTCTTCGAAAAAATTGTGTAGACGCTTCGCGTAGTCAGGAAGTTTATCCGTCGATCAATTATTCCAGCCGTCTGCAGCAATGTTAACCCTGTCGGGAATTCAAATTAGCTTCTGGAGAACGACAGATCGTTGTCATTGCCCTTGTTTGGTTACATCTGTCTGGGATTCGCTTCCTGTGCGAGCTCTCAAGGAGTAATTTGGGTGGCGAAGTGCGAGTACTCGCCCCTGAATGGATTCTTACTTCCAGGTGGAGAAAAGAGGAAACCGTAATTTTTCAAGGTCACGTTTACTTAATTAGGAAAGTATTGTCGGAAGCCGACACTTACAGGTGGATTGACTGTTGTCTTCAGAGTACTTCACAGTAGATTGGAGTGTGTGCTGGTGAAGGTGCCAAGTGTAGTCAGTGTCTCCTGGTGTGCCGTGGCGTGGATACATCGGTGGCAGGTGACGTTATTTTCAGGCAGAAAATACCCTCCTCCCCCCTGCTGTCTAAGCGACTAGCTGCTGATGAAAGATGGTTTATTTATCGAGAGCGAGGGACTAAGTATGCGCGGCTCTCGAGTCGCAGCGAGCAGAACAAATCACTCTCGGGTTCCGGATCGGGTCCCGGGGTTGCTCTTCGCTTTCCACCGCGAGCACGAGTCGGGTCATGCTGCGAATTCCGTCCAAGTTTTTTCGTGTGCCAGTGATCAACTAGTCTCAGCGAGGGCGGAAAAGTTTCGGGGCTCGTTCTTCAGTTCCGACTTCGACCCTCGTGTTCGACTTGCTTGAAGTGAGCTTTGGGCGTCCAGAGCTAGGAACGATTTTCGAACTTCGCGACTACCTGTTACCGACTTTACGATGACGAAAAACCTCGGAAGTTTACTTCAGCCAGAAGTTGGAATTGGTGGTTGTTTCTCGCAATTTTAGTGTCGTGTTCTGACTATTTTATCAACAAATTTTTTCTGCTGTTACGCGTACACGAAATGCTGACGTTTGTTGTGCATAAAAATGAACGTTGATGTTCCCAGTTCCAGCGATAGGGCCGTTTCTTGAAAATTCCGAAGTCGTGTACTGTTATTACTTCCATGGGGATATTTTTAAAACTTGTACCTGTATAGTTTTAAATTAGGCGTCGTAATTGAAAATAAATTTTGTTCAGTCTGAAGTGAGTGTCAGGAGTTTTTTTTTAGCATATTGAGTGCCGTTTGCGGATTCGACGGAAATTCAATGCACATCGGTGCTCTTCACTTATTCCCCTCACTTGTACATACTTTTCGGTGACGATAAAGCACAGCAATACAGAATGCACTGAGCGTCGGTCGTGTCAATCCTTCGGCGGAATCAATTCTCGAAATTTTGGTGAACTTCGAAAATTTTTCCATCTCGTGTACAGTACCGTTCGCCGATTCTATGGATTGGTCGTTCCAACTGCAATTGTTGAGAACAAATATGTAAAAGTTTCAACTGCCGTGCCCTGTTCTTGAATTCTGGGGATATGTTCCACTAATTTCCTGTGCTATGACGAAAAATTCAGCGATGCGAAATTCAGAAATCGAATTAAGTTGAAGTCAGCTTTTTATGCACAATTACCAACTAACTAAAAAAACAAGTGTTAACTTCCAAAATCTCGCGCAATGTAGCGGATTATGTGGATTACAAAACGTTTTTCGTTATCTGAACTGTCAAACATTTTCGGCGACGAAAAAGATTATGGAATTTCCTTTTGTCTCTATTGAGCGTGAATTTCTGGTTTTTTTATAGTTTTTGGAACGTTAATTTTATCTTGCAATCATGTCGTACACTATTTTCGGATTCGGGGGTGTTCAGTGTATCCAATTTTCTGCTGTTGAAATGTTTGGCGTTGAAAAGTATGTAGCAGTGGAAGGTGAGCGCTGGTCATTTAAACTTCTAACTCAAAAATTGATTTTTGACAATTTAAACTATATGTTCATTACTTATTCAAATATTTGATGGATATTCACTATCTCCTGATTCCATTTCTTGCTGTTCACACTTTTCGGCGACGAAAAATTCGGAACTTCAGTTTGTCGTGCAGTGAGCAATTGATGCTTCAATTTCCATCACAAGGAATGCGTCTTGATTTTGCATCTCTCCTGCATTGAAACTTGACATAACGAACTGTTTGACATAACAAACGATTTAAAAAAGCTTGAACTCCGCCATACAGTTGGAATCGAAGGCACAAATGCAATACATTTCCAGAATTTTCGTCAATGCGGTGAGGCATTCGATAGTCTGATAAATCAGCAATAGAAAATATACAATTGAAAAACTCTCGAGCCCATTTACACATTTTCAAATCAGCAATAGAAAATTGAAAAATTCTCGAACCCGGTTGCTTGAGCCTGGAGATGAAACGACCAATTACTTATACAGTAGAATCACCAAATGCAGTACTACTGTACTGTATAAGCAAGTTGCAATGCAGGAGAGTCGCAAATTCAAGACTCATTCCTTGTGATAGAAATTGAACCGATTAGGATAGCATTGTACTGTATTTCTAATTTTCAAATTGATTGTACTGAAGCAAGGGTTCGTCATTTATGCTTCCTGAAATTCTGAAGCATCGTTCCTTATTTTTTGGATTCTGTAGATATCTCATGTCCAGGGCCTCGGTTTCATCGTCGGTACGCACCTTTCGCGAACGAAAAAGTTCAAATATGTATTCCAATTTTATTGTTGGTTTCTTCAACTTCCATTGTTTAGAACGATAAAATCCTTCAAAATGCTGACCTTCTACATTTCGCCCATCGCGAAAGGACGCCGCATTTTTTTTCGAGAAATCCATATACGGTACATCTTAAGAGATTTGTGAGAAGGTTTTGTTCACTATTCCAAGACTGGGATTGGGAGTAGCAAACCTCTTTCTCAGTATTTATGCATCCGTCGTGATTTTTTAATCCATTTCTCTTTTAACGAATGCAAGTAGCGTTAATGCGGGGGGTTTCCGAAGCTCGGAATGTACGCATTTATAATTTGTACTTGGAAAGTAGAATGGAATTCTTGTGGGAACCTGAGACGTTTACTTAAGACAGGCGGGCAAGACGTTATACCTGGCGGACAATTAAATGAGACCTCTCGCTTTCGGATGTGTCAGTGCTTGTTCTGACGGCAGTTTAATTTATTGCTTATTGGGGCCCATTCGAACAAGTCGCCCCATTTCCTCGGAAGACGTCGTGAGTTTACCTGCAGCGTAAAAATCAACGCATTCGGTCACGGATCTATCTTCAATTTATTCCGGGGAGTACATTTTGGAAAGTGCTTGTCGGGGGCTGGCAGCTCTCGGGCGCCTGACTTCGATCAGCATCGTTTAATTGGAACCCTTGGCTACTTTAAAGCAGACAATGCTTAATTACTCTTTGACGGGCGAGTTGTCGCTCCGCTGGACTAGGAATTAGGATGGGGTGGACGTGCATCGTTACCTTGACTTGGGCTGCGATGGTTTTCGCCAAGACCACGCAGATGTCGAGGCTCATCACATCAGCTGCCCGGTCTACTCCGCTTCGGGCTATTAAGTTCGGCGAGCGAGAACCCCGATCCGAATGGTTTCGGTTTGATTGAAGCCGGAGACTCGTCTGTCGCTCTCCGACGGACTTCTGGACAGTGCGCACTCGTGCATTTAACTCCAATTTTTACGCCCCATCCGGGGTTTGATCAATTTTGCCGTCTTTAATGAGGATGAATCCGTTTCCCGCAATTTCTTCCCGGAAGCCTTGCAACACCGCCTTTCCAGACGGGGACTGAGTTGTTCTCCTTGCGTTATTCGCGGCCCGTCTGTTTCGCACGGGGCTTTACACAACTGCGTTTCTTCATCGCAAGTAAATCTTCCGCGCGTTTACACAACGATGCATGCCGGAAATAGTTTCGTCGCCATAGTTATGAAGTAACTGTGCGGGCTCCCGGAATGAAGGGGGGGGGGGGGGCGTGATTGACGAGCAATGCTTCGGAGTCATTACCGGAGGTGTACTGATTGATCGTTGTTTCCCGTCGATGGACTGATTCGTTTATTGTTCCGCGTTCCTTTCAGGCCCGAGAATGCTTCGCGATGACGCATAATGTGGATTTCGATGACGAGGTGGACGTGGCGGCGCGGTTCGGGCGCCCTGGCACGTCGTGCTCGCGTGGGACGCGCTCGACGCCGTCGCCAAGCCCCGTCGTTCACGATTCGGCCGGTGTGCAGCTCGTCACCAAGTCGCCGAGGCCGACTCAGCACCTGCAGTCCCAGGACCTTCTGTCAAAGTGTCTGGCTATTCAGGTTCGTGCTGATATCCCACCATCAATCTTCCCTTATTTCCCATCCTCCGTACTGTAGTCATGATATTTTTTCCGCCGATGGCTCCGATAAATAAAAAGTATGCTGTGAGAAAACCGCATTCTTTCAATTCCTCAAATCAAAATGCACTTCTGCTATTTGTCATTTCGAAGCTATCTCAGCTTATGTCCGAGTTTTCTCGCTCATCTACCAAAGTACATTGCTCGAATTGCTACAGTCGATTTTATCAGCTAGTTATTCGCCGATGCTGATTCTCCAGAAAAATAAAGCAACAGATGATTGTATGGGAAACTCAAGTACCGTGGAATCAATTGTCGTTTGTGCTAAAATAAATATGCATTGAGCTCAATAAGCAGGTCCAACAAATTATGGGTGAAAATTTTGTGCATTTTATTCTGTTTACAACTCTGGATTAAACCCCAAAAATGTCGAAGGGGCTCGAAAAGATGAATTCATTCCACAGATGTCACTTAACCAACAATGCTGAGAACTTACTTGCCCTGCAACCCATCGTGGATGCCATTAAAACTTTATCCTTGAATCTTTGACGTGTGGGAATATTTTCAAATTCTCCACAGTACCTTATTCTTCATGTATCTCCGAAAACAAAACGTGCGTTGAATTATGATGATGATGATGATTATAATAATTTTACAGGTGGACTCTCTACAGCGATCTGATTTATAACAATTTTCTCTGCCTAACGAATTTTTCTTTGGTCCTGTAGGATTCCCTCCCCATGTTATACGTGTTGTCTACAATAAAATTCTCTGTGCAAAAATGTTTTTTTCTGCTCCCTTTAATTTTGTTTTAGAGATAGTCCACCTGTACTACTGTAAGACTACTACTGTGCTATCACTACTGTTACTTCGGCAGCAACTACTACTATTAATGATGAGTTATGATGATAATAATAATTCCCAACAAATCGACTATGGCGTCTCGTAAGGTAGGTTTCAAATTTACACGGAAAGAGAAATAAATTCATCAGTTAAGATTGAAATGTGTTAAATATTTTGAATTTTCGACGGATCGTTTCGGGCATTCTTTGGGTTGCAAAATAATTCAAGTACACTACGTATGTATGCGAATTTAATTTGAAAGCAAACTAGATACTGTTTGTATCTGTATTCCGCACACATTTTAAAATTTCAGGGTTTAGCCTTGGAGGTCTATGGATGGTGTCCGAATATAGCGTTAATGATTATCCGATAATCAGGTTGTATTTTTGGTGGGAGGTGCGGTAGAAAGAACTTCTCGATGCTCGGATCACATAAGCTGAGTCTTACGAAGTGAAAAGCAAGATTATAATTTGACATCTTGAGCATTTATTGTACCGTACATACCCTATAAAAATTATGAGTGCCAAGATTTTGGAGATAATTTTGTCTACTTTCGATTTCGAGAGGGTCATTTTTTTATCGTGGTTGGTTTATTGAAACTCCAATATGAACTCTTTGTGTTCTTGTAAAGCTCTTTGGAACTGTTGATCCTTCTGACCCTGTTACAACACCCTGACTCCACTTCCTTGGTATTGATTTTGTAAATCGATAATTTATCCCGTTGCTTGCCTTATTCGGTTGCAGACCTGAACAGAACAGTTTGATATCAACCAATCTTCGTGCTCCAAGAATTATCGGCATTTTTTAAAACTTGTGCTGGTTGACTTTACGTTAGATATCGTTCTACCGGTAATTGGTTGCCTTGGGTTTAGTTTTAGTGTGGATCTTGTTTTTATGCTACATTTAGTTTAGGTTTTACGTTTGACAGTTGGTGGCCAGAGACTTCCCGAATACGTGACGTCCAATTGCAAGTGCCCCCTGAAGATACGCTAGATCGTAAAAGTTTCCCTAATTGAACGTGGTGCACGGAAGTCGTGAGGGGACGAAATGATGTTTCAGCCACATTTACTTTTGTAGCTGGGGACCATCAACAAACAAGTGGTCGTCTTTTATTGCCATAGAATCATCCAGCAATTCATGATTACCGCGAAATAACTTTCGAAGTCCAAGATGGACTTACATGCGGATTTTCCTCCGCATTCTTTCAGAAGCCGGGTTCTTTTGTCTAAGCTTGAAATGTGGTAACCACTGGGTTCGACCGTCAAGTCAGGTTAGGCTGTGCGATATGCTTGACGTCAAATTAAGTTCTGGCAGGGAAAGTAAGACGAAACACAAAAATGTGGACAGCTGGTGAGAGAGGTGCCCGGCATTTGTTTCCTTGTGAACGGTTCGTAGTGCATTCTCCAAGTCTCCCATCGTGATCAACGCATTACGATTTTCATGCACGGTCGAAACATTTCCGACTTTCGAAAAAAAGTTCGCTTCGCAAATGATGCAGAAATGAATCGACATGAGAATACAATACTGTACATTTAAAACTAGTTTATTGCGTATACTGTATTACACTGTGATACATTCTGCCGCTCTATTCAACCTGTATCTTGGTTTTACCGATATGAACGTATGGCTGTTCTCACATAGAACTTCCTGGTTACGAAGTCCAGTTGCTTCAAGTTGAATCATGGACGATGCTAAGTTTTATCTATTTCTCAATTTAAGACCGCATACAATTCACGCTCAACTTTTCGGGCGCGAGGTTTCCGTTTCTTCAAACACAGTTTACAATATCTTTCACTTCTATAATCATGTTGAACTTTTTGTTTAGTATGGTGTAAAATTCCTTTGAAAAAACCTCCTGTTCTACGTCAGGATCAATTTTCGTACCACCTGCCTCGAGTGGTACGAGACACTCGGGTTAAAAACCCCCCATTGGACCAGTAATTTTGTCGTGAACCATGTAGAATATAATTCACATAGAATCATGCAACAACTTTAAGGCACATGGTCTTCTTAACGCTCAAAAATTTTTTTTAGCTCCATCCTTCGGTGGATCCCCTTAGGCGATTACTTTTGAAGATCTATACCTTGGGTTGAGGATATTCAATATTAGTCCTTGATTATCATTCTTAGGTCCTATTTATTTTTTTCATGGTCGATATTTTTCATCCCAAATACAAGTGGCAAGTGCTTAACTTTCCTATCGTACTCATTTATTTAATGTTATCTTTTTTTATTCAATTTTTTTTAGTATTCGCGGATCCCATGGGTACTCCGGGCGAATCCCTTAGGGAGGGATTTACTACAGGTGTTACCGGAATTTCCCATGAACAAAAAATATAATGATGAATGTGAACTTCTATAGTCTCGACCCAAGTTGTAATCAGCTGAGGAAGGGAATGGGCGAATGATCTATGGGAAAAAAATGATGCATTGGAGGTTGAAGATGAAGTACTGTACTGTACTGTATGTAATAGTGACATACAGTAGTACCGAACTCTAGTACCACTGGATATTTTTTCTCAAAATTAAGCTCAAAAAGTGGGTGCGCGTCTTATTTGAGTATACTTTTCTGTACATTTTGTTAATTGTTGGCGCGTCATACTTCAATTCAATGAAGTTAAAACATTTTAGAGACGTGAATAGCGTTAATAAACGTCTGGGCTCAAATCAAACAGATGCATGAAAATGTGGAACAAGTGGAACAAAATAAATGCAGCTCAATTAAATTCAAATTTTGTTAGCCTAAATTTGAAATATTAGCGTTTAAAAAAATTAAATTGATCATTGTGTTACAGAAGAGCGTATGGAAGGTTTTACGTGGAAATTGATTTTTCTAAAAATGTTTTTCCCAAAATATAAAGGAACGCGTCTTACATGAGGGCCCATGATACAGTACTCAAGTAAATGCGGGGTTTCAAGTTCATGTTTTCAAGTTCTGTTAATGGTTGTAAATGAAGTTGAAGCCCTAAAACAAAAGAGGGATGTGGGCAGGCGTTACTGTGCCAGTTGCGACGTGATCATTGCAGTGTTTTGAAAGTGGTACCATCAGGAAAACCCTATCCCAAGGGGCGGAGAACCATTGGTTCAGAGAGGGGCTTTTCAATCGGTGGTAGTCGTTGTACACATACCACTAGTCGTACTTGGGCACCTCCCGGGAGGAACACGAGATTTTCCGAGCGTAGAGGTAGGCTTTTCCAAGAGTTGTAACTTCATGAAAAAAAGTGGTTGAAGGGGAATGGAAATGTCTTCCGAAAAGACGAGTATTGAGAGACGATTAATCGCATAAATAAAAAATGTTTGGGAAAGTGTTTGCAGTAACAAAAAAAAATGAATAAAGCAAAAAAATCTGAATTTAAGCTCCGAATATTTTTTCGTGAAATTTTGAAATAAGTTCAAAGAATGCATCATTGATTTGAGTCGAAGTGACGGAGATGGTGCGCGAGTACTGTAATAACTTCCAAAGGATATATTGTACGGTAAAATCAAGACATACAGTGATACAGTAGCTTGAAAAGCTCTGGTGTGAGGGGGGAATCAGGATTGCCGTTGCAACTGGAATTCACATTAGTTCTAATCAAATTCTCGGGGGATGCGTTAGTAGCGAGGTAGGCCAAAGCACGCGCCACAGCCGAAGGCTCACGGTCATTGCATATTTATTGAAATAAAAATCCCTGGCGAATGCGTGTGTTTGAATGCAAATGCATCGTCCGTCAGTCACGCTGGGTCGTTCGTATATTTCCTACTCCTTGGGTCTTCGGCTCCGAAGCAGTCGTCGATGAGGTACTCGGGGAGGGGCAAACGACGTTGCACGTAGCGCTTCCCTGCGAGTTTGTCTTTCGCCTACACGCACACTGGGATGCAAAAATCGCGTTTCATGCCTTGTTCTGAACACCCTGTCACTCGAGACGGTTGGTCCACGGGATCCTGGCGCCGACTCTTGTTCCGTCGTCATTAGCATCTCCCGCGCGTCCCGGGCCATGATGGATGTTGGTCCCGCGCTGTGCCCTCTCGGGGACCCGCAGTTTCGCCCGACTTTCATGGTCACGGGAGAGCTCTCACGATCCGCGCTACCGTAAGCCGAATGAAAACCTATTGCCTCATGCTTGACGTTTTGCATCCGTATATAAACTTCATGGCGCACGCGTTGATGACTTCACGTTCCTCCGTCACGGATCGAAATCGTATTTCGACAGATATGTTGGCTTTATTGCCCGGACCTCGTGGGATTGATTCCCGGAGTTCTATTGCGTATGTACGCGAATACCGCGCAAGACGCCATCGGTTCCAAGACGCACCTGCATATTTCAGCCCCCAGAATTTGAAATTAATTTGCTAGCGAATTGGCGACTTGTCTCAAAATTTGTCGGAAACTATTGCGTGTTGATGAACGAAAAATTTCATTCATCTTCAAATTACGGCAGGATGTAATATTTCTGAGATACATTTACCTTGCATTGCAGAGCATTTTATTACTCGAGTACCACGCGCACCTCTTTTTCTCAAATTCGAGAGGAAAAAGGGGGTGCGCGGCATATGCGGGTATAAATGAAAAAAAAAGTTTTAGAAAATTCAGCGTGCATTTTATTTGTTTATAAGGGGACATGTGGACCAAGTTCAACAGAGAAACTCATTTTAATGGAAACAATCGAAAAATGGTCAAATTAATGTCGAAGCTGAAATTTGGGTCTCTTTTCTTTTAAATATTGTGGTTTTAAAGTCACCAAAAATGGGGTCAACCAGGAATAGGATTTTTCGAACATTCCGGGCGGAAAACCCCTGGTGCGTGTCTTACTCCACGGCGTGATTTCGAGTAAATACGATACTACCGCGGAATAAACTTTACTGTACAGGGCTCGGAAAAATCTTGAAAGTTGATTTTGCACAATTTCACTTGAAATTTTGGGTTCCTTTCTTTAGTCCAGATATCGCTTTAAACTTACACCGAGGACGTTTGAAAATACGATATTTCCGATGAGTTATTAATGACTTGAATCGGTGTACGTAGTTGGATCACCCCATAAAAATTTGCATGTGAATCTAAGACGCTATTAATCCCTCTCTTTCTGGCTGAAAGCGAAAAAAAACGGCGAGTGGGTGTCTCACGTTCGCGTAAATGCGGTTTTTTCACTTTGGGCGCTAGTTCGTCGTCTCTACGCGTACGAAGTCAGCGTCTACTCGCTCTTCATGAAAGTTTTCAGGAGCAGAATTTCTTTCCCATCAAACGAAACAAAGAATGGTTTTCCTGGTTTGTTAATACGCCTCAGAACGCTTGCATTCTCTGCTCCAATTTTTTCACACAAAGGGGGAAAGCTTTTCTGGGTCAACTGTTCGGGTGATTCAAATGCTGCTTAAAAAGGGAATTACAATTCTTTTCGACTTTCCGCTCCTGGTGAATTGCCGCGAGGTCTTTTAAATTATCTATGTAAGCTCTTCGCGAATACTTAATGACAGGGGAACGGCACTGATATGAAAAGCGACGACGAGAAAAGCACCCCGCGTAAAAGCTGCAAATCGTAAGTCTGAATTGAAAATTGAAGAAACTAAACTTCAATAATGTGAAACAATTGCTAATTTTTTCGTAATTTTCAACTGGGTGATTTTTTTCTTGAGTGTGCGTATCAGCGAAGAAACTGGAACTTAGGGAAGAATGTTTGCTGTTGACTAATTTGCAACTTTATGGGATTTGACTCGCGCTCATTTATTTGCGTTTGAGAAGTATCGGGCCTCGTGCGTGCAACTTTACTACTATTCGCCGAAGCCAACCATCTGTTGCCACAGTTGTGTGAAGTCACTCAGAGTTTCGCTGGGAAACGTCTTCACGTTTGGATAATGAATGACAGGTTCGGCAGGAAGCGAGCGGGAAAATTGGGAAATCGCAGTCGTTGTCCCAGAAACAAACAACGTGGCACAGTTCCACGAAAGCAACGCCGGCGGACCACGCAACAAATCGCGCGTGAT